GGACGTGTTTTCTCATCGCGCAAATTCTGTGGACGGATTTACTGTGGACGTGTCGGTCCCGCCCCGGGCGGAGCCTGGGGCAGAGCGCCCGCAGACGGCAGGCTAGGCCGGCCGCTCAGCGCAGCTGCGCACGGCCTCTGCGGCGGCCTATCCTCCAGGCTGAGAGGTCCGAGCCGCCGGGCCGGGGCCGGGCCGGGGCCGGGAGGGGACTGGCCCCCGATAGCATGATAACGACCTCATTATCGCTATTATACGACAGCACGGCTTATCGCTGTAATTATTATCGCCTCATCCTCGGTGGTAACGATAGTGACGTACCGAGAGAGGGGAGGCGATAGAAAGAGTGTGTGGGTGAGTGTGTGTGTGTGTGTGAAAGAGAACGAGAGAGCGAGAGAACGAGAGAACGAGAGAGGAGAGGGAGATTGAGAAAGGGGGAGGGGGGAGCGGTATGTGCGCGTGTGTGTGAAGTAGCTGCGTCATTGTAGTGATGGGCAATACGAGACGGGACGTACACGAGCCGCCGGATAGATCCTCCGCCCACACTACTTTCATTCCCCCCAGACCTTCCCCCCCTCTCTCTCTGTTCTTTTTATTTTCGATTACGCACTCGTTACCCTGGACTGAGACAAATCCATCACTAAACTGGATGCAATACTGATAGACGACAGTCAACATTTTTGTACACCGTAATGTCTTTCTAGCAGATCTGTACAGAAAGACACGCGTAAGTCAAAAAACAAACAAACCATGAGTCGATTCAGGGAGTGCTCGTTGAACCTATAGGCTTGGCAACTGACAGTGTTGTCGTATCTGTTTCTCTGCCCACCTTCCTTCTCCTTCTGGTACCGTAATCTGTCTTGGTCAACCAAAACCAAGCAATTCAGTCATCAGGCGCACGATGTTCAGATCGATTTCAAGTCGCGTAACCCGAGACGGGCCTAGTCGTGCCAAGCCGGGTGGATCGGGGAGGGAGAGGGAGAGGGAGAGGAGAGGAGAGGGGGGGGGGGGGTTGAATAAAGAAAAAGAAACAGAAGAAGTGCAGGACAGTGTTGCGTAAAACAAAGTAAAATACAAAGAAAGTCTAAGATTTCCCCCCCTTTTCGGTGAGAGGGTTGTGTAGAACGTCTGCGGAGAGGAGAGGGCAGTCACCATATGGCGCGGGGGAAAGGGGGTGGCCGAGGTGCGCGAAACGCCATCCGCAAGAGAAACTAACGTAACATAATTAAACAACAGTTAAGATCAGTTTCAAACTGATAATTATAATACAGTAAGGACAACAGTCAAATTCTTTTTATTGCAAATTGTAGAATGAGTGGCGCTTAAAGTACGCCAGTATTACACTCGCAGTATTTCAAAATTACAACGGCTATTTAGAACAAAACTGGACACGCCGGCGGCATAGCGGGCGGAGGTGGGCGGGCCAGGCCTGCGCTTGAGGGGCGCTAGCACCGTGCCATACGGTGACATGCGTTACGCCTCTGCACAAGCCAGGCCGCCGCCGGGAAGCACGCCGCGGCCGTCGGACTGTGAGTGATGGGGCCGAGCGCCAGCACAGCTCGCGGCCTGGGGTGGG